CCATTGCGCTGTCGATCGTTTCGTCTCTCATCTCTCGTCTATGCCGATCTCGAAAACGGCGGTAGCGACGTGTTTGCACAGCATTGAACTCGCCCTCTGCTCTACGGGATTCGATCCCTCTCCTGACGTGCGCACCATGGGGTTGCCGACCGCAGTGCAGGGGGATGAGACTAGGGGAGAGAGGGGGAGTGCGAAGACTCGGTGGTACGCAAACCCATTATTATGATTATTATTCACGTAGCTGAATCGTGCGCGATCGCGATCTTCCTGCCTTCTCTCTCTCTCTCTCTCCCCTGTATATCTGGTTTTTGAATTTAAGAACAATAAGTCTTTACACTAAAACTTAATCCCCCCCCCCTCTCTCTCATTTGTTGCTACTGTTGTGCCGCACGAAGTTTTTTAAACGATCTTTTAGCAGCAGTGCTGCGGAATTTTAGAATAGTACACCATGGAACATTCGCTGTACCACCTCTCTGCATGATTTTAAATGCAAATTAAACAATACTTTATTAAGTATAAATTTGACTTGCATTTGTGTCCACGTCTTGTTTTTTCATTAGTATATTATTAGATAGGTATTCTGTTTTTTAATTTCTTTCATCTTTCCTATTTTTATATTTTATTTCCTTCTTATCTTTATTTTTATAATCTTATTTTATGTATCTGAAGCTTCCAATTTTTTTTTATTTTGTTGTTCAGTTGTGTATTGCTTTTTGAGAGAATTCGCGATTCTAGAGCGCTTAATAAATAGCGATATCTACCTTTCTTGCTAATTCTTTTATATCCGACATTATTTTATAGTTCAGTATTCCTTGCACTATTCGTTGTAATGAAAGATACTTCCGGCAGTCATATCTACATATATTATCTAGGAATATTTAGACAATTCAACACTATTTTATAATTAGTTCGGTACACGTTGTCAATATTCGTTAACGTGTAAACAATAAAAATGCAATTGTAACGGCGCTTGTTTCAGATAATAAAGATCTGATATCACCGACAGGTTTTCGCGGACAGCTCGATAGGTCAAAACTTTTCGGAAAAACGGAGGGAAAATGGAGAGGTGGGATAAAAGCTACGATAGGCTGGCCAGAGGGAGGGGGAGGGGAGGGAGTGTAATTTGCCTCTAATGCGACACTCGATGTAGCAGCTGGCTTCACCGGCCCTCTGCTTTTCCATTCGCCACTCGGCCGCAACCGGCGACAGTAGCGATAATAATAACAATACTGGTAACAATGCCCAGGAGTGGCTAGGCATTGTAACACCGCACCGCGCGAAGGGGTAGGGGGACCGGGTACTTGGAGTAACAATGCGAACGCAAAATGGAGGGACCCATCTGTGTGTGCCCCGTGCCAAGGGGACAAGAGGGAGGACGTGCTCCGGAGGGAACGGGACGAGAAATCGGCGGGACGGGAGAAACACCAACGAGATAAATGCAATGCGTCGTCACGCGCTCCGATATCGTCGCCATTTTTTTTTTTTTGTAGATTTGCATCCTCGCGGCAAGAGATTTCCTATCGAGATAGCGGGCAGTCGTTCGTCCGTGATTTTGCGATTTGGTGACCGCGAGGTCGATATGTGATTTGGAATACGATTGTGTCAAAAAATGTTGGTGGCTGCGAAGCGCGAAGGAGAACTGCTAAATGTTAGATATTATCGTATTTATGTTTGAAAAAATATTTATGAAAATATATGAAAAGAATAGTTTTGCTGGAGTATCTAAAAATTTAGCTAGATTTGAAAATAATTTTGTTAGGCCATCGAAATAATTATTTGGGATATTTAAGCGAGATAAGCAATGCTATAAAAAATTTTAATATTTAGCAATCAGGTTGAGTGTCTCTTGATTATTTTGATAACCAACAAAATTATTTTCAAAAATGTGTAGCTAGCTAAATTTTTAGATACACGTGGAAGAAAAAAGGTTTTGCTGAAGTATTTAAAAATTTAGCAAGATACAGATTTAAAAATAATTTTGTTTGGATTTTCTTTCATTAAATTAATTGTGTAGAATGCTTAAACTGGTTAAAATGTTAAAACATTTTGCAGCATTGCAGTCATTAATATTTGAGTGTTCTATATAATTATTTTGATGGTCTAATGAAATTATTTTCAGATTTATATCTAGCTAAATTTTTAGATACTTTGGCTGTTCTTTTTAAACAGCAAATATTTTTCTGTGTATGTTTAATGTGATCTCTAAAACGCGAAATCATGTAATTTGTATTTTACAAAGCGTGTACGATGATAGACAGCCTTATATACGTATATATAGGGAGAAACGTAAATTGTCCGCAATTTCCTTCCCTCGCTCGATCACGTGGCTCTCACGATCGCTGCAATCTTCTATAAAACTCGTCGAAACTTATGTACCGCTTGTACTCATTCGCCCCGGGTGAGCATGAAAATCCCGGCTGATTGCAATCAGGGCTCTTTGCCGACTTCCGTGCTTGACATGGAATCGACTCGTCACCATCGCTCGAAGGCCCGGGCTTCGTGCGGGCGCTCGACTCTTCCGGTTTAAGGAAGCGTTCCGTTCCCATTTTGAGAAATCTCTCGTTCACTGTGTGAAGCTTCTCTTTAGACCTAGCTACCGCTAATTAGTCGTTTTTATTCGCTCTTTTTTTTTTGCAGTAAATAGTTACAAATATCCGTACACGACGCGCGTTCTTTTTGAGAATGTTTCCAAGGAAAGCATACACTGAGAAAAATGTCCGTTCAAAAAGTAACAAACAGATATTTCCGATTGATTTTGATCGAATTTATAAGAGTATCCGATCAAATTTTAGGACTATCTGATAAATTTGATCGGATAGTCTTATAAATTCAATCAAAATCAATCGGAAATATCTGTTTGTTACTTTTTGAACGGATAAAGCCCGGAAATTTTTCTCGGTGTATGAATATTTACTCTTTGTGTTCAAATTATTTCTTGCAAATTAGTGAATATAATCAAATACATTTCGATCTCAATTTTATCTAATTATTTCATTTCATCTACACTGAGAAAAAATAGTTGCAATTACCATAATTTGACTATAATTTAAATATACACGAAAAGAACGGATTTCGCTAAATTATTTAAAAATATAGGTAGATACAGAACATAATTTTGTTGGCAAAATATTATGTAATAAACACAAATATGATGAGCAATCCTGCAAAAATTTTAACATTCTATAAGCAATCAGTTTGAAAGTTTTATATTATTATTTTGATAGTTTAAAATTTATTTTCAGATCTGCATCTATATAACTGAATTTTTAGATACTTCAGCAACACCGTTCTTTCCATGGGTCTTTTTCGGTGCCAACTACTTGTGTGTGGTAGAACTATAAATATAATTTATTACTAACATATTATGACAGTAATAGCTGTAAAAATTCAGTTTCTAACCATAATTATTTTATTATGCAATTATAGTCACAAGTAGCAAACACTTCTTTCGGTATAAGTTAATCTAATATTAGTAAATGAAGTTTTATTACTTTGAAGAATTCTTTGTAGAGATCAAAAGGACTGTAAAAGATATTTTAAGATTTTTATGGCGCTTAGCGCTAGTTGAGTTAAGTTATATCGATAACGTCGTCCTTGTTGCGTTACAAACGTCGTGATGACAAACGGACAATTCGACGCGCTTGTTTTCAAAGGGCTGATAAGTGAATTGAACCGCAGACGGAGAGACGAACGGTAGACGGAACGATAGACCGAACGAGGGGGAGACCCGCGCATGAACGTGCATCAACGCAGGATGCGGCCAATGAGCCACGTAACAATTATTTATTGTTGCCAGACTGCTATACCGCATCTCGAGCCGGCCAGACCTGTCTGCGTTCAATGAAAATGAATACACTCGTTAAAATCGGCGTATGCCGGAACCAGCTATCTTATCCGCTTGGTAGACTATAACCACCGTGGATCTTCGTCAAGGCTTAATAAAATTGTCCGAAATATATTTAATGGACAAGTACATAATTTGTTCCACGATTAATTCACGTATTGAATATTAGATAAAGGAATCAATTAGTTAACAGTTCGTCATCTTTTGCCATGGCACACAAAATATCTTAAGCAGTAAAACGTAAGCGATAAACGAATTGGCTAATCAAAGTAGAGACTGTAGTAAGGAGCACTCACTGCAAATCCAAGAGTAAAAAGTGACTTCAATGTATGTATGTAATTTAATTTTCTGTGTAAAAATGACTGTATACATTTAAATGTGTAATTCTATTTTTATATGTGATTATTTTTACTAATCACACACATATATTGAAGTCACTTTGTACACTCTCGAATTTGCAGTGCAAAGTCTTGCATAACACATAACGCGTAAAAAATATAGCAATCAAAGTTCTTCATTTTCTTCCTTCCTATAAAATAAAAGCCTCTGATTGATTGATTTTCTTATGCTTTATGCGTTATGCAAAGGTCTGTGCTCCGGCCTGAAGCTTGAAGATTAACGGGCTTACTGCCTACGTCTTATTGTTAAGTTTTTTTGTGTGCCATGGCTGCAGGGTGATTAACGAGACTTCCTAATTTTCGGCTCTCTATGGAGCTGTCCCGAAAGAATCCTAGACGCCATTTGTCCCGATTTATAAATTAACGTAAAATTCGTACTTTCAACTTTAATGGCCATCGTCTGTGTAATGAAAATGATACACCCAATAACAAACCAGAAAATAACAAGTCCACACACATTTAGAATATAAGACATCTTTAAGATATTTAAAAGATGTCTCAAAGAACTGTTTAAAAGATGCTACGTTTCAATTTTTAACTTTGTGTTATTTGGGAAAACAATCGCGGTAAATATATTTAGTCGCGAAATCACTACACGAGACGAACTCGGTGAGTCTCATCAGAAATTTACAGAAAATTAAAAACGAGCAACGTTCGGTCTGAAGTACGAATGCGTTCGAAACGGAGTGCCTGTCGTAAACTAAAACTTACGTATAAATAACAAGTAATTACTATTAATTAAGTAATTATAAACATACCTGCGTGGGAGTTAGATGAATTAAGGACGCCAGATGCTCCCGTTCGGGCGCGCTGAGGTACTTTTGCTGCTTGAATCGCCTTTCGAGCTCGTAGACCTGGGCCTGGGTGAAGAGTACGCGTCTCTTCCGTCTCTGCGCGAGAGGGAATTGCATCGCGCCGACGCCCATGCCGACGCCGACTCCAACGCCGACGCCCACCCCCATTCCTGACGACTTGGTCACGTCGCCCATCGACTGGCCCACCGAGCAGCCGGCCATGTTGGTCCCGGCGCCCGCCGCCGCGGCGCCCATCAGTCGCGAGACTGCAAAACATATTGAACAAACCGGGAATGATACTTTGCAGTCTTCTTTTTCCGCGTGCATCTTCATTATGAAAATTTAAGGTCTATACTTAACAGCGAAAGATACACTGAAAGAAAAGATTAGTTGCTGCAAAATAAATTAGATGGTTAAATATGGCATTTTTAATTGGCTGTAGCAACCAATTTTTGGTTGCGTTAGCCAATCGAAATCTTATACTGACATTGCGGATAGGCTAATACAACCAACAATTGGCTGCAGCATCCAAAAATTGGCTTTTAATCATCTAATTTGCTGCAGCAGCTGATCTTTTCTTTCAGTGTATATTCCTTGTTTTTCACGCCGCATTCTGATTTTGATATCTTAGTTTAAATCTGAATTTAGTTATCCATTGTCAATAGTTTTAGATTTTACATATTCACGATATATACACAGAAAGAACGATTTTGCTGAAGTACATATAAGTACAGTTCAGTACAGATTTGAAAACAATTTTCTTACATTCTTTCTTCATGTTTTCCTTACATTCAACATATATCCACTCACATTATTGTAGACATTGTAGCCATGGTTTTTTTACATTCTTTTAACAAGGATCTTTCACGTCTTCCGCATTGAGACTGTTAATAACACCTTAAATTGAATCACTAATTGTAAGCTGAGGATGACTCCAAGAAGAGTCGAAACATTTACGTTCAATGATTTACTAATTGCGTAGTATTGTATTCACGCACCAATTACAGAAATATTACTCATGTTTTTTCTCTTAATATTTTAATATTGAGTTGTACATTATAACTTATTGAAAATAATTCTGTTGATCCATCAAAATAATTATTTAGGAAACTTACTGAGAGTGTAATGCTGCAAAAAAATTGAATATAAAGCAACCAGCTGGCTGAAAATAATTTTTAGACGTCAAAATTTTTTGCAGTATTGCTCATCATGTTGAATTTTCTACATAAATATTTTGATGAGATCTGTGTCTATAGCTATACTTTAATAAAACCATTCTTTCCATGTGCAATACGAAACATCGGCACTACTCTCGCATTAGACATAGCGAGAATTAAATTCTTGAGAACTAATTAAAAGAATTGTTACCAACGATTTCAACGTGGCGATAGAAATTATAATAATTATGACATATTCATATTTTCATAAGTATACGTCTAAGCGTATATGACTGAACGATTCTCCTCTAAATTTGAGCTACCGAAGGCTATCCAGACGAGCAAGCGAGCGAGCGAGCGAGCGAACGGTCGTCTATCCCTTGTCAGTTGGCGAGGAGCTGTCAAAAATGAACGCGCTTGGGCGCGGACAAAGGGAACGATTTAGGCGCTGCGAAGTGCTACGTCACCGGAGCACGGGAGGTCCCCGAGATGAAGTTCCGAATTATTATGCCTGTGAGAACCGTATTTCTCGAGCCGTCAGTGAAGTCGAGGGCGAGAAAGAAATACCACTTGAGCGCAGGAACAAACACCGTCAAATTTGTTTACCTCGACGCGCCCGTACGGGAGAAATCGTACGGAGCTCGTAGCTCAAATCCGGAGTGCACTGTGCATCGAGCAAAAGTAATTGTCGTATTTTTGATGGAAGAAGTCGACGCGTTTTTCGTCGAAGGCCCTTCGCGTTACGCGGATATCCGGGGTTACTACGTTCGATAGCCTATATTCGATAGCCGATTCGAGTACCCGATGAGTTTTCGTGGCTTCGTCTCACTTCCTACCGGGATTAATTGTTGCACTGATTACCAGACGCCCTGCATTCGAATTAATCAAAACTGATTCGCGAGCCACTTGCCTGCGTTACCGTGTATGAATTTTATAAGCACGTGATCTCTTAAGATCAACTTGATAATCATTTTTACAAGATCGTGTATACGATCTCCTCTTATCTAGGGTTGTATTCGGATATGTACAGTCAGTATTGAAAATCTATAGTTCACGTTACATATACATGTATAGATACTATAAATTTTCAGTGACACGGTCTAGATTGTTACGCTGATTGCAACATGTATTGCATTCGAATTAATTAAAACAAACTCATGTCACTTGCCTGTTACGATATATTCTATCCACAAATTTTACAAGCCCGCGATCTTGAAATCAACTTGACGATCCTTTTTACAAATTCGTATATGATCTCCTTCTATTCGGATTAATTGTTGCACTAATTACGAAACGCTCTACATTCGAATCAATCAAAAGTAGCTCAAGCGCCACTTACGTATTACGATATATTCTACAAATTTTATATAAGCCCGTGATTTCTTGAAATCAACTTGATCCTTTTTACAAATACGATCTCCTCCTACCTGGATTGTTGCTCTGATTAGACGCTCTTATACATTTGAATTAATCAAACCTATCTCACCATTTCTATTATGATATATCCTATCCAGAAATTTTCTACACCTGCGATCTCTTGAAACTAACTTGACAATCCTTTTTATAAATTCGTAAACGCTCAGCATTCAAATTAATCAAAATTGACTCACGCTGTTACGATATATTCTATTCACAAATTTGATAAGCCCGCGTTCTCATGAAATAAATACTTGATAATTTCTACAAATTATGGTCTCTTTTCGTAAATTTAAACAATTTCGAAAAGAGACACTCTTCTAAATATTGATACGCGATTATCATGTGTTAACATTAATTGGTACTGCGAGGAATTTCACGTAAATCACATCGGTGATGTAAATTATTATGTTTCTCGTACGATGCCATCCTTTTAAAGCTGCTCGTCAGCAGTCACCGAGAACAATGCGTAAGGGTACGACTGACGGGACGGGATGTTTCGATGTAACTTCTGCCAATACACGAAGGCAGATCCCGATGATGGGCGAACAACGCGCGTGCAGGAACTCGTTAAGTAAATTGACGTTTCTCCAACGTCTACCTGACCACCGGCGTCGCACTCTGCCTCACGTCGAACATCCCCGTTTGAAAACGTAATTATGTGGCATAGCGACCGACGGGGTGGGGAAGTCTCCACCGTCTCTCGGCTCTTCAGCTTCCAATTAGGTGACAAAAGCCCAAAAGATTTCTCGCTCCGAATCACAGACGTCTTCGCGTACCGCCCACAGTGTGAAAGTCGTCCAATCCAGCGGGATAAAAATATCTCGTCTGATGGCATATAGATATAGACGTAACATTTAATTTCACGCGTCGATTGTATAATTTTGCTTATTACGTAATTTCGCGTTTCACTTTAATTTTACTCTAATTGGATCTTATTTAAAGCGTCGCAAATCATGTGTTACAGGATCTGTAACTTGTTATTAAATTTGCTACGGAAATCCTATTCACGATCCCAGTTTGCGTAATGCAGAGACAAATTATTGATGAAATTGATTCTCGAAATTACGTGTTTTTTCTACCAAATATATTCTAGATGGAAAATAACTTGATTAGAACCACTAGAGATTAAAACTGTAATCAAGATCTTAAACATTTAGCAAAGATAAAGTGGAGTGAAAATATAATAAATACCTATCAAGATTCTGATAGGACAAAATTGATAGTTTATTATCATCATAATATTAGGAAGTTTCATATTTGAAAAAACCTAGAAAATTAGATAAAAAGAGAAAGAGAAACATACACCAAACTGAAACGAATGAAATATAGAAAAATATAGAAAAAAAGAAAAATGCAATATGCAAAACAATTAAAAAAAAAAAATCTTGCCGAGTTTAGAATGTAATAACCATTAAAATTTTTTTAATGGAGATATTTTTTAATAATTTGTTTTATAGGTACAATTTTTAGCTGAATAAACCACAATTTCTGATTTATATTTTTATGTCAATATGCATAGTTATGTATTTTTCATAATATATATTATTTCTATATATATATATATGTATATATATAATTGATTCAATTTTAATCATAATTTTGATCGTGTTACATAAGATTAATAATAAAAAAAATGGAGTTGCACTGTCGTTCACGACACAATGCTGCATATTCACACAATTATATGTGTAGACGATACAAATCGCAAAAAGTTGTAAAAGAAATTCATACAAATAACGCTCATGTGGCGATAAGAGCAAAAGTTTTCAATAGGACGTTTCTAAAATGCAAATCGTAAACGCATAGCACCATCAATCGATATAATCTATCATTGAAAAATGTCAAACTGGAATAGCGCAATGATATTAAAAAAGTCAGATCGAAGACATTAATGAGTGGATTCTCCTTGATCTGAAATTTTTTTTTGAATGCACAGCGAACAATCTTAGTGCTTAATAATATTCATACGTATGTATTTTACAAATACTAATTACATTTACAAATAATAATAATACACATTGCTACAAATTATTTGCAGTTCTATAACTGCGTATCAATTCAGTTTATCGGATTTGAAACACAATCATAAATTGAAGCTGCAAAATAACATATCACAAATTACATTGAACACTTTAATAATGACGTTAATAAACATCTTAAAAAATACTCCAAAGATTTTCCACCTATAATATAATTGATAGATTAAATTATAACATAATTCGTAGATAGATTACATTCTACATTAAACACGTTGATAATTTGGCAAAAACTCTCGCGATTTATTCTATACTATCGTTTCGCGACGCGCAGTCTACGTAATACTCTCTCTCTCTGTCACATAGTCGCAGTTTTAGAAAACGAATTCGAACGATCGCGCACATGATGGAAATATATAAGGTGAAGCAATCTGATGGATACACAGTAGGAAAATGCATATTCGGACATATTCGATTGGCTATTTCCAGTATTGCTACCGCCATTATGCGTAATGTTTCACCTTATATATTTCCACCAACGATCGCGAAGCGCATCAGGGAAACGGTCTCGTTTGCAACTCCGTGGACGAACGCGGGGGTTTCCCTGCGTGCTCTGTTTATTTTACAAGGGGCGACGATAAGTCCTGCGAAATCGAATTCGTATGGTGCTGACGGGCATCCGCGCGTCTGAGGCATTTAACTCGAGGACCAGTCCCTCTTATTTGTTTAACTAAAATCCTCAGCGCCGTCCACTATGTCGCGCTTTCTCGAATTCTGGATCGATACGGCGAGAACGACGAGCGATCGGCTCGCTAAAGTGGCGCGTGCGATGGACGAAAATCCACAGAGGAGAGACGAATGCCTTGTTGACACAAGTCGCATGAAAGATGCGCGCATTGTTGGCCGACGGTGGTATGCGCGACGTTCCTTTTGTGGACACTGAAACGCGAAACTTATGCGGCGCCCTGGACATCCAAATGGATCCCCGAAGTGTCAAAGCTCCTACACTTCCCGAGGATGCTTTTACGCCAATCCTTTTAAACTGTTCCACTTAAAGAATATCGCTGCAAACTGCTGGCTGCTCTATCTCCACTTACTTCATGGACGATTAAATTCAAAAGTCTCGTTTTTAACTCTCCATTTACAACCATATTTTTACTTTCTCTGTCTGCAATCTGGATCTTTTTTTGTTTAACCCAAGTCTTTTCATTGCTTCAGACTTTTAAAAAATGTGGAAAAATTCAGGGTTACTTTTCAACATCTCTATACTACGTTATCAAATAGTTGTTTAACTAAAATGTTAAAACCTTTAAATTAAAATTTGAGAAAAATGAGCAAGAAACTTGAAAGTGAAATTTTGCTTGTGCTAAAAAAAGATTCAGATTGCGGAAGAGTTAAGAGATACAAAAATAGATTTAGAATCCTTCTTCTCTGTTATGTCTAGAATCAAATGATTTGAGAAAGTTCGGTCTGAGAAAATCAATTTGCATCTTTTATCAAGCCGTATCATTGCAATCTTTTCAAGAATACCAGCAAACCCCTATCCTCACAATTTGTCGGTTTATTTGTAGAAAGTTTCTACACGCTTTTGAAGAATAAAATCTAGTCCTCTTTCTCTCGTAGAACACTTGGAGACAGTTGTAAACTGAGAAATGCCGACGGGTTCTCCTTACCAATTAACGATAGGGCATTTTCGTCAACTTTGTAACGCGAGACCGACACTCTCTCGTCGATCCCTAAATGGAGCTAAGATATCCATGGTCTTGTCGTTACAAGGCCGATAAAAGCCTGACGGACGTGACTCTTGGAAGGCGGAAGGAATAGCTCGTTAAGAGATAGGTTTTTATCCGAGTACAACACACAGCGTACATCTCTCTTTCTTTTTCCTTCTCTTTCTCTCCGGAGTCGCCTCGTGTCGTGCTTCCGGCATTTATACACAAAACACAAGATTTTGATGAATATCTGATAACGTTAACTCTCGCACGTGATTCTTCGACGTTCCTACAGATTTCACTCGCCATTTTTTCAATCGGTGATTAAATAACAGGTGTAGATCGTACGTCTGATGTCGGTTTTCATGCCGACGATCGTCAGTCAGGGAGAACACGTCTTCTTTGAAAGTATAAGCGCCATATTCTATGAGACTACACACCGAGCCTCTCTGATAAATACAGACCCCTCGAAACTCATTTAACAGGCTGACAGAATGACTGTTTGCATTCGATAACTCGGTAACGTTTAGCAGACAGACTAACTGTCCAAGACGTAATTCATCGAATGACTGAATTAATCAATATGTAGACGAAGTCCGCGAAGGCTTTTTGCTCATCTGACGAGCATGCAAATGTATGTAGATATATCAAACAAAGTATTCCCTCCATTAACGAGCGTAAAATCGTTTCTCAAATTTCGAAAATGATCATTTCTACGCTTATCTGCTACGATTGACTTTTAATACAATATAATCGCATTTTTGGACGTCTATATAGTTGCAGTGATGATTAAGGACTTTGCGAACAAAACCGTAATAAGGAAAAATGAGTCTTTTTGATTCGTTAGAAAATATTTAGAATGTGTGTAATAGTAGTTTTATGTTGATCGAATTAATAAAAAATTAATATTCGTTCATTAATTATCAATAATATCGTATTTTTTACTTTTTATATTACAATTTTATATATTCACAAATTTGATATTATAACACATATATATGTATATTATAATTTATTGTATTGAGAGATTACATATACAATTTAGCTAAAGTTGCTCAGGTTTTGTTCATCTTACGTCCATTTCCATCAGTGCAACATTAATTAATCTCGATTTAACTTACTTTTCATCATTTTTAGTTCTAAATGGAAAGAACGATTTTACCGAGATCTAAAATTTTGCTGGATTTAAAAATAATTTTGTTGGAAATGGATTGTTATATCAAACTCTTTGCAGCATAGTTCATCATTTTTTAGTTTCCAACAAAATTAATTTCAGATCTAATATCTAACTAAATTTTAGATTCTACAGCAAAATCGTTCTTTTCGCGTAAGAATTCGTAATTAATAAGAAAAAGATAGAGAGTAAAATAAATGAAGATTAAAATTAATCTATACCTACATCAGTATAAGAAATAGATGTTAGACATCACTATATACGTCCCCCAATCGACATCAACTAAAAATCACAGAACATCAAGAATGCAACTATTATTTTATCAATACCATGTGTTATATCGTTGCATTACGTTACTTTTAGTTGGTGTCGATTGGGACTCTGGACTTGCCTCAATGATATTCTTTGAATAAAAGACAAGCTACTCACTGGCAAAGCGCGGGTCATTGGTGGCCGGTGGCGCCGGTGCGTACCACGGGTGATGATGCGAGGAGACCGCGTGGGACCTCATGGGGTCCGTGGCTGTGGCCGTGGCGCCCACGCCGGGCCCGGCGTGATGATACGGCGATAATTCTGCGGCGCAATATTGATATTGCGACGTGAGCTGCATAGTTGCGTAAGGATTACCCATGGCACTCATGCCTCCGCCGGCACCGCCGGCACTGCCGGCGCCACCGCCACCGGGGGCGGCCCCGTTGGCAACGGAAACTGGTCCGGGGG